GAGTAGGAGCTGTCCATGAGCTAGGAGAAGGAGCCTCCTTCTCCTATAGGAGAAGCCTCCACGTTTCTCCGATTGCGCGCAAGCTTCTCCTCCTGTCCATAAGGTAATCTCTCTACTGTACGATAGAGTCGCGTGGTTATGATGCAATCGTTACCCTACAATCACTAAAACTGCTTCTACGGGGCCATAACATAAGCTACAAGGTAATGGAGCATTTTATACATTGTCATGTTTCTTTAGAAATAAATGAAGGACAAATTGGGTCTTCAAACGCCTCAGATGTAAAGTTATTCGCTGTCAAAGTGACGCCAAAATGAATGGGAGTCAATGGGAATGCGAACACAAGTGAAGTTCTGCTACAAGATGGCAGCTCCCGCGAGGCTTCAACTTCCGGTCGATGGATTACCCCCTTGGCTGATGCTTGGCGCGCACGGTGCTGAAAAAGGGTTTCCGTTGTGTAAGCTAACTTGCGCAATACGAGAGAACCTCTCATAAGAGAAGAAATCGGTTACCTAACGTAACCTCGGTTCTCTCTAGAAGAGGGAACGCGTATTGCGTAACCTGACGTGCTCGCGCCACAAGCGACTTTCGCTTTCGATAAAAGTTCTACAGTTCTACATGCATGGCGTGAAGTTGCATACTCTTCATGAAAGCGCTGAGACATGGCGACCGGCGGCGCTGCTGATGTGTGCCTGTGTATATTAAACTGCAAACGACTGTTTAAATATGAACCCAGCATGTTCTGCTTGTCTCTGTGTGAATGAACAGCGCAGACGCACGTCTCATTAAACGTTACCTCACACAGACACACTGAAGCACGAGTGACGCTTGCGCTGTTTTCAGTCTCTGCTGCCTCACGATATGATTTCATGATTCATGATTCCATTCACTCCAAGAGTCACTTCATGAGCATTTTACTTAACCGTTTCATTTGAGAAAAACTATCGTCATATCATACACGCACAGAAACTCAAAGATTTTCACGGCAACCCGTCAAAATAAAAGTTTGGTTTAACTTGAAGAAATTGACAGAAATAATTATATTAGGCTAGTGTACAATAGATTTAACTATGTACCCACTAATTAAAAATACTACTACTAATAATAATAATGTGTGCATAGAAGGTTCTCAATATTCTCAATCATAAATAATAAAGTCATATATATATATATATATATATATATATATATATACCTGTGGATAAGACACATGACTTTGGTGTGAAAGACCTGGGTTCGAATCCACTGTGAGACACCAATGTGTCCCTGAGCAAGACACTTAACCCCTAATTGCATTGGCGTGCGACCTCTGACATATATAGCAATTGTAAGTCGCTTTGGATAAAAGTGTCAGATAAATGAGTACATATATATATTTTTTCCAAATAGTTAAATACATTGGAAAAATAGTTAAAACTGATTTTGGTATGGTACCGAAATTGGTACCGAGAACCGTAACATTTAAATGGTATCGGTACCAACTACTGGAATTTTGTTACGTTGACATCCCTTGTACAATATATAATAAAACACACCACAGATGCGCAATATAGAAAAGAGATGGACAGGAACAATAATAAGATGGAACTTTTATTTTTCAGATAATGTTTATTGCACATATTTTGTATTTTAAAGGAACACTCCGACTTTTTGGGACTTTAGCCTATTCACCATATGCCCCAGAGTTAGATAAGTCCATACATACCTTTTTCATCTCCGTGCGTGCTATAAGTCTGTTTGACGCACCCACCGCTAGCCTAGCTTAGCACAAAGACTGGATGTGAATGGTTGCAGCTTTCATACTAATCCAAATGAGTGACAAAATAACGCAAACGTTTTCCTATTTACATGTTGTGGTTTGTATAGTCACAGACTGTACAAATATCAAGGCCATATGAGACACCTTTTAACCGTATAAATACTATATTTTCTGAAGGCGATCGCACTGCTACTTGGGCAGAGTAATAACCATCACCTGAGACGCACCGTGACGAGGAGCATATTCGCTCAGTGTTGGAGTAAAGAGTCAGCAATTACTAACGTTAGATAGAAAAGCATAGTTTATCATGGGTGTTTGCTTTATTGTATGAGCTGTGACAATAAACGGGAGACCAGGTAAGTACCATGTTTCATTGAATTTCCAACCAAAAACGCATCCAGATTTATAAATATCACAGAACATGAATAAATAATTATTATTACAGGAATCAATATATTTTAAATGCAATTTATTAGCTGAACCAAATGTATTCAACAGCATATACACTATAATTGCATTACTATAGGATAGAATAAGGGGAAAGTAATAGCACAAATTGTTTTTGCACAATGAACTCAGCCTGAACAGCCTACCGTACCCTTTTGCACGCTCAAGTTCGTTATTTCAAATTTAGGCTAGGCGCGCTGCGAGCAGGGTGCAAAGTTCAACGCGCTCGTTTTTTTCCAAGCGCGTCCGTGCCGCATCAAGATAAAAACATATTCATACCCTAATCATATAATAGTGTCACTAACGTTACATTAGATCTGGCTAATAATGGCACTGTTACAGTAGGTCATCTAAAAACATAACGGAACACTTACCTCAGCCGCAGGTGATCCACTTGTCCTGTCTGTGCTATAGATGGGATGGCCGTATCCTTCAGCACATTATGGTCCGTGTGGCAAATTCCATTTTTTTCAAAATAATCGTCCTCATTGAAATGTACCGAGCAAACATAATCTCCCTTGATAATCTATTTAGGTGTGTTTGGATCAATATCCAGAGTAAGTAAGTTAGCCGTCTTCATCCAGTCAGCGTTTTTAGTTTGAATTCTGTGAGACATGGTATTACGTCCCCTGCTTACTGTCGCAGCTATTGACAATAGAGCGAAAACCCATGCCTGTAAACTACGCTTTTACTTTTTATAAATTGCTGACTCTGTTACCCAAACTCTGAGCGTGTCTCCGGTGATGCGGTTATCACTCCGCCAAAGTAGCAGTGCTTCGCCTTCAGAGAATAGTTCCCAGGTTTTATACGGTTAAAAGATGTCTGTGTCTCATTTGACTTTGTTATTTGTACACTCTGTGACTATACAAACCACAACATGTAAATAGGAAAACGTTTGCGTTATTTTGTCACTCATTTGGATTAGTATGAAAGCTGCAACCATTCACATCCAGTCTTTGTGCTAAGCTAGGCTAGCAGTGGGTGCGTCAAACAGACTTGTAGCACGCACGGAGATGAAAAAGGTATGTATGGACTTATCTAACTCTGGGGGATAAGGTGAATAGGCTAAAGTCCCAAAAAGTCGGAGTGTTCCTTTAATGCCTAAATATAAAACAATATTCATTCAGACGCAGGCAATAATACGAATCTAATTTGTGCTAAGATACCAGTGGTCAAGTGACAAAAGAACGAAGGACTCAAACCCGAAGACTCGAAGAAAATGACCTAATAATTTCTCTTTCTGGTACTGACAGCATAGCCTCTATGGGACTGACAGGAAGAATGAAAGACACGGACCCGGCCAAACCGAACTCGAGACTCGAAAAATGAAAAAATCATTACTCTTTCCGGCCCTGCTGTATCACACACGGCACGGCCCAGCAGACAGCACAGATCAGAGTCAGACACTGACGAGTCGACAACTAATGTCTCACGAGAGGAGGAGAACAAACGTGATAAATATGAAGTTGCAAAGGAAAGATTGTCTCGGATCAGGAGGGGAGGTGAACTAACAGAATCAGAACTTAAGACCCAACAACTAATCAATTAATACAACATTTCAGTTGCTTATAATTTGGCTGTGGCGGCATTACCCTATAGTTTATTTTTATTCTTTTTACAGATGTAATCAAGATTTCCGTAAGTTTTAGATGTGTTGGGATATTTAACATGCCATTTTAATTATATTATGCTGAAATGAACGAAATGACTCGAAAAAAGATTTGTTCATTGTGCTGAACTAGACTCAAAGATCCGAGTCAGTAAAATGATCCAAACTTCCCACAATAATAAAAACCAGGGAAACAGCCTCGTTCCTCCTTATATACGCTAAGCCATGCCCATTCTGGTGGGGTAGGACGCGATGAGGGCACGAGTACCCTTCATTGGACGCGATGTCACGTCGGGCTCAGTTGTAGGCTGCTGCAGTTGCGGCAGGGCAGCCAATGAGCATGCTAGACATCTGCTAGCTGCTGCACTGCATTGACAATGAATACAAAATTAAGGATAATTTTTGGCTTCAGATGAATCTTTCCGAGACTGATTAAGATTAAAGAACGGTGCAGTGCCGTCTATATTGGATCTGACAGGTATGGTGCAACACACGGAATCTGGGTCGAACATGTGTGGGCGAATCATTCCGGTTGCCATTTTACAACATTGGACGTTTAAGAAACAATTTCCCTGACGTGCACCGACTACTGAGTTGAAACTCATTATAATATGCAAAACTGTTATCCACTCACAGCAGTGGGTGTTCAATTAAAGTGAAAGGACACTTTTGATAAAAAAAAATAAAAAGGATTTAAAAGTGCCCAAAATGCACAGAATTTGCAAGTCATGTGTTTTAACAAGAACTGGAGTAGGCTATGTCATAAAAGAAAATGTACCCATTTAAACTTGTTTTTATTATTGAGTTTGAGTAAAAGTATATGGTGTTTTATAAATATATATATATAGAAAATAAATAGTTGTGTTATTGAAAATAATCGAGTGGTTAGAAAAATAGTCGGAATCGGCTAAAATCGGTATAGGCAGGTCTCAATGAAAATCGGAATCGGCCTAGAAAATTGTGATCGGTGCATCTCTATAAATCACACAAAAGAACAAATCACATGGAAACTAAAAGATTCACAGATGTCTTTATAATTTGATCAAACAATTATCAAACCAGCAGATTACCTCTATCCAACACTGGTCATTTCAGAAAAAGGTTTTAATGTAAATAAAGTTTCATGATACTCACTGAAATACTTTCTAACACAGTAAATATGCTACCAAGAAACACAAGACATACCTTTTGGTAGATGTTGTTTTCTCACTGAAGCTTGGCGGTCTACCATCTTTTGAATGGTCACTCTTCATAGACATCAAGCTGGACACAGATGAGCCTGATCTTTCCCTAATACACAAAGAGCAAACAGAATCCATTTATTGCAGGAGATAATAAACTTTTAAAAAAAAATCCCACTTAGCGCGTTAGAGACCAAAAATGGCCACATATTAAACATTGCCTAAAATATTATGTATTATTATTATTTTCCACTTTTACCAAGTTAAATCTTTTAACCAGAAAACCTTTCAGAAAAAGGTTTTAATGTAAATAAAGTTTCATGATACTCACTGAAATACTTTCTAACACAGTAAATATGCGACCAACAAGAAACACAAGACATACCTTTTGGTAGATGTTGTTTTCTCACTGAAGCTTGGCGGTCTACCATCTTTTGAATGGTCACTCCTCATAGACACCAAGCTGGAGTCAGGTGAGCCTGATCTTTAATAAATAGAGATAATAAACTTCAGTCATTTTCAGTATATGAATCAGAATTAGAATGAGCTTTTATTTGCCAAGTGTGTGCAAACACAAGGAATTTGTTGTGGCTTTACAGGAGCTCTTGGTACATACATATAAATAAACATACATATATGACACAAGAACAGAAGAATATTTAAATAAGACCAAGAAAAGAAATAACTAATAATGTATACATCTGAAACAGAACAGAAAACGTATGTACAAATTTGTAAATTACGTACTGTGTATATACAACCATATAAAAAAGTGTGTATTTCTTCTTGTATACTCTTCTCTTTATGCTACTCTTTTCTTTTCCTTGTTGGATGTTATCAGCCTGTGGCACTGCTGAGGCATTATGGGAGACCAAGATCCTTCAATACTGACCTTCAGCTCTTTATTATGGCTCATGTCTCTCATCTCTCTCTTGGCAATACCTCATAGATTTTCTATGGGGTTCAGGTCAGGCGAGTTTGCTGGCCAATCAAGTACAATAATCCCATGGTCATTGAACCAGGTTTTGGTACTTTTGGCAGTGTGGGGAAGGTACCAAGTCCTGTTGGACCAACACCAGCCGATGACATGACTCCCCAAACCAACACAGACTGTGTAAACTTCACACTGGACTTCAAGCATCTTGGATTGTGTGCCTCTCCATTCTTCCTCCAGACTCTAGGACCTTCGTTTCCAAATGAGATGCAAAATTTGCTCTTATCAGAAAAGAGGACTTTAGACCACCGAGCAACAGACCAGTTCTTGTTTTCTTTAGCCCAGGTAAGGCGCTTCTGACGTTGTTTGTTGTTCAAGAGGAGCTTGACGAGAAATACGACATTTGAAGCCCATGTACAGGATCCATCTGTGTGTGTGTGGTGGTAGCTCTTGATGCAGTCTCTGGTCATGATTTGGAGACGATGAGCATGAACCGTTTTGCCATGCTGCTTATATTTATCAAACAGTAAAACCCCGTGCCCAAAAGTCGTGTGTGGATGAGAATCTAAAAAAAAACACTGGTGGGACGTTGTCCTGTTTCACTTCACAGGTTTTCAATCCGATCAAGTGTTTACATGTTCTCTCAATCCATTTTGTGTTACGACAGATTTTTTTAAAAATCCCACTTAGCGCGTTAGAGACCAAAAATTGCCACATCTTAAACATTGCCTAAAACATTATGTATTATTATTATTTTCCACTTTTACCAAGTTAAATCTTTTAACCAGCATCAGTCCTCATCATAACTACCAAACATTTATTCAATTTCAGGATTTTAACCCCTTAATTACCAGTTTTGGTGCCGAAACCATCGATTTTTATAAGAGGAAAAAACACAAAAATTAAATTATTTTCAGTAAACTAAATGCAAAGAGAAACACTTGGCTTTGGATTATCACAGTCTTGAATATGCCATGAACATGAATTGTTACTTTTTCTCTAAAAAAAAAAAAGTATTCTATAAACATAAAACATATCAAAACTTCAAAACAAAACGGGGTCATTCTTCAGCTCATTTGCAGGAGCTGCAGAATTGCAATGCATGCTCCTTACAGATATAATCATCATCAATCGGCTGCGAACAAAACGGCTTTGCAGTCGGTCACAAGTTTCCCCCACTCTGTTCGATTACTAGCAGCTCTTCGCATCTCGTCAGCTGTTGGTGGCATGTCATTGTTGATTAGTTTGCCGATGTATGTATGGTATAATGTGCGTGGCTTTCCTCAGCTTCGTTTGCCATGTCGTTCTTCGGGTGCATATAACACATATTTATTAATTTGGTCATTTGGGTCTCTTCTAAGTGAGTGGCCGACAAAACGTAGCTGCCTTTGTTGGATTTGAAAGCTGATTCTTTTCTACTGCTTTGTATACAGCTTGGTTACTTATTCGATCCATCTTCTTTATGCTAAGATTCTGAAGCAACTGGTGGCAAAGCAGTTGAGTGAGTTTTGCATTTTCTGGTTGATAATCCAACTTTCACAGCCGTACAGGAGGATGGAGATGCACGCTGCTTCAAAGATGTATAGTTTGAGTTTGATTGGAAGAGTTTTTGATAGAAATATATCCTTCATTTTCCAGAATGATCCCCACGCTTGTCCTTGTCGTGCTCTGATGTCTGTTTCGCTCGTTGCAATGTAAGAGCCAAGATACTTGAAGTTTTTTTTTTGTCCAATCGAGTTTTTGTCCGTCGAGTTCGATGAATTGATATAGGTGGATCGGCGTCTCTAGCCCGGCAAGTTCTTGGTTGCTTCCGTCTTTTTAATGTTGACCTCAAGACCCACTCGTTTTGCCCATTTTGCTGTTGTCTGAAGTTGAGCTTTACAGATGAAAATGCCACATTTTGAGCAGGTGGTGGAGATTTTTCTTTTTTTGCTAGGGCTGAAACTGCACCCCCTCCTCCTCTTGTCATGGGTGTCTGCAGACCCACTAGCTTTTCTTCATCTTGTCGAGTTTAAAATTTGCGCACCAAAGATGTGCATACCTTTATAACTTTTGCATCAACCACAATTGTATGAAAGGCAGACTTTGTTATTATTGTCTATTATTGTCTAAGGACTGACTGCATGGCTGTGTTTGTGCCTCTTCATACGTGAGAAGTTATGAATTAACTTTGAAACACAGACTGCTAAAAAAGATGTCAAAGATGCGTAAAATTCAAAAGATTCATGTTTGTGCGTAAAATACGCATGAATCAAACCGAAAGAAAACAATGCAGTGAGAAGTACTTTCTCTAGCTATATGCTAGAGAATATACTATAAATATACTATAAATAGTGTTATTGGAAATAAAAAAAGTGGTTAGAAAATTAAATTCGAATTGGCTAAAATCGGTATCGGCAGGTCAAACTCAATGAAAATCAGAAATCGGAATCGGCCTAGAAAATTGTAATCGGTGCATCTCTATAAATCACACAAAACAACAAATCACATGGAAACTATGAAACATGAATCTTTCACAGATGTCTTTATAATTTGGTCAAACAATTATCAAACCAGCAGATTACCTCTATCCAACACTGGTCATTTCAGAAAAAGGTTTTAATGTAAATAAAGTTTCATGATACTCACTGAAATACTTTCTAACACAGTAAATATGCTACCAAGAAACACAAGACATACCTTTTGGTAGATGTTGTTTTCTCACTGAAGCTTGGCGGTCTACCATCTTTTGAATGGTCACTCCTCATAGACACCAAGCTGGAGTCAGGTGAGCCTGATCTTTAATAAATAGAGATAATAAACTTCAGTCATTTTCAGTATATGAATCAGAATTAGAATGAGCTTTTATTTGCCAAGTGTGTGCAAACACAAGGAATTTGTTGTGGCTTTACAGGAGCTCTTGGTACATACATATAAATAAACATACATATATGACACAAGAACAGAAGAATATTTAAATAAGACCAAGAAAAGAAATAACTAATAATGTATACATCTGAAACAGAACAGAAAACGTATGTACAAATTTGTAAATTACGTACTGTGTATATACAACCATATAAAAAAGTGTGTATTTCTTCTTGTATACTCTTCTCTTTATGCTACTCTTTTCTTTTCCTTGTTGGATGTTATCAGCCTGTGGCACTGCTGAGGCATTATGGGAGACCAAGATCCTTCAATACTGACCTTCAGCTCTTTATTATGGCTCATGTCTCTCATCTCTCTCTTGGCAATACCTCATAGATTTTCTATGGGGTTCAGGTCAGGCGAGTTTGCTGGCCAATCAAGTACAATAATCCCATGGTCATTGAACCAGGTTTTGGTACTTTTGGCAGTGTGGGGAAGGTACCAAGTCCTGTTGGACCAACACCAGCCGATGACATGACTCCCCAAACCAACACAGACTGTGTAAACTTCACACTGGACTTCAAGCATCTTGGATTGTGTGCCTCTCCATTCTTCCTCCAGACTCTAGGACCTTCGTTTCCAAATGAGATGCAAAATTTGCTCTTATCAGAAAAGAGGACTTTAGACCACCGAGCAACAGACCAGTTCTTGTTTTCTTTAGCCCAGGTAAGGCGCTTCTGACGTTGTTTGTTGTTCAAGAGGAGCTTGACGAGAAATACGACATTTGAAGCCCATGTACAGGATCCATCTGTGTGTGTGTGGTGGTAGCTCTTGATGCAGTCTCTGGTCATGATTTGGAGACGATGAGCATGAACCGTTTTGCCATGCTGCTTATATTTATCAAACAGTAAAACCCCGTGCCCAAAAGTCGTGTGTGGATGAGAATCTAAAAAAAGCACGGGTGGGACGTTGTCCTGTTTCACTTCACAGGTTTTCAATCCGATCAAGTGTTTACATGTTCTCTCAATCGGATTACAAAAGGAGTATAATTTTGAAGAATTTGCTGTTCCTTTAGATGAGCATGAGGCTGTAAGCTTGGTTTCCATTCTGGTGTTTTTCCCAAACTTATCAACACCTCATTTGGAACTGCAGTGAGACGAGACGCATTCCATTTCTTCCATTCTTCCAACAGGAAGGTATTTGGACCAACTCTCCTCCTCACCAAACATGGAGCAGTGCACCTTGTTGAGTCTTTGTGAACATGCTCTGGTTTCTTAATACGCATTCAGTTCTTTTCCTCAAATTTGGTACCTTAGCTCCTCTCTTTTTGTCAGTATAGTCTTTACATTTCTGCTGTTTACGTGTCACAGGGTTTCTTTTCCTGAATTGCAGATCATATTAAAATCATTTCTACTGCCCCGTTGGCCTGTGGATAATATACACTGGAGTACATATGCTGAATGTTCCGCATCTTCAGAAAGCCAGCAAAAGCAGTAGATGTTAGTCATGGATCATTATCAGACACTAAGCAGTGTGGATTACCTTCTCTACTAAAGATATTGCCCAGGATAGTGTCCAGGAAGGTTATTATGACATCTGTTATCACTTGCGATGCAAGCTACTTCTGGCCACTTACTGTAGTAGTCTACCAGTGTTATGGAGTAGCGGCAATCCCATGTAACAGTCTCAAATTGTCCCACAATATCGATGACTACCTTTTCCCTTGGACCGTTAGGTAGTTACACAAGTATATAAGGTGCTGGCTTGGACATTTTGTCATTCAGCTGACATGTCAGACAAGAGGCAATCAGAGTTTCTACACGTCTGCTTATTATTATTATTACTTGCACAGATCAAGAATGCAGAAGAGAACTCAGAGACTGAAACAGTGGCGACCATTTCTGGTTCATCTGTTGGTTCACTCGTCTCTGATAAGGGGAGTCGAGAGAGAGAGTCTGCTGTTGTGTTGTATCTCCAAGGGAGGAACACAACATCATAGGAATAGCATAACAGACGGGCTGACCATCTAGCAATTCGCATGTCAGCTCTAACCTGTGCCTTTTGTTTCAGTATATAAGCAATATTTAGCTTTTTATGTTAGACACTATTGATACCGTGAGAAACTTGCATTCTCAGGAAAATAGCCGCTTATCAGTTAATTGATCGATAAGGTTGATCAACTAACGATTAATGAATTAATCGATAATTTGCATCCCTAGTCTTGATGTAATCCCTCTTTAGAAATTGTGTGCCCAAAAAATGTCAAGGTTTGCAGCTTAAATGTATATTTCTGCATTTTAGTTTCAGACCATCTTAGACAGTGAAGTACAGCCATTAAATCTTAACTTTTAGGGTGCAATGGAACCTGGTGATATATTGAGGCCAGGTCTATGGTTGATAACACTGTCGCCCCATGCAGTTCTGTTAACAGTTCGTCTATATCTACAACTATAGCCTTATTAGGTTCCCTTAAATCAATGTACATGCGAATTCCACCTTTTTTTGTGTCACTATAATTGGGGAGACCCATGGAGATGCACCCACTCATTCAATAATGTCATGCTCCAACAGGTTTTTCGGTTCATCTGAAACTGCTTGCCTAACTGACAATGGCAGTCTTCTCAATTTTTGCTGAACAGGAACAAAACCTTCTTTCACTTTCACTTTTTGTATGAATCCACTTGCGCATCCTACAGTATGGACTGTGTTATATCCCATGATGTAATATTTATAATGTATGGCTATGTTTACACGGAAACGATCTGAAGAGAAAACGCAAAAGTGGCATTGCGTTATCACTTTTTATTCTGCATTTAGACGAGCGTTATGGGTGGGAAATCTGCGTGCATATGGTGATGCAAAAGTGTATGAAATTTGATGAAGTATGCACTCCAGACGGCAATGTGAAGCACTGCCACACAACAACACTAAGTCCGCGCACCTACGTCCAACCTTCACTGTCTATCAGACTTTTGCGTTTTTACCCTTTAGGCCCATGACATACAGTACTGGCTGCATGGCGTGAGCATGGCGTTTCTGTTACCTGTCAGCTGCATCGGGTTTTCTGTGTCTTTGTACACCAGAAACGTGTCTGACGCGACGCTGCTGCTGCTAGGTGACAGTAAAGGGAGGAAGTATTGTGGAAGCCCAATACTTCATGTTAAGCATAAATATAAAGCCTACTGATAAAGACACTGTCAGCAGTATTTACAGCAAAATAGACTTCAGAATATTTTGTTCTGTATTGACAGGTGCAATATTTGAAAATTGATCATTATCTATTTTTAAATTATATTTATGTCATGAGTTCATGTCAAAACATTGACTTTGAACCATCAAAATGTAATGTAATATTTGTGTACAAAATAACATATAAACATCTTTTACTATTCTATTTTGTCTGGGAACGCTTCCATAAAAAATATGGATATGCGTCGGTTCTTTTTTTAGCATGCATGCGTTTTCCACGCGTGTCACGCAGGCAGTCTGCAAACTCTAACCTGTTAACATGGGAGCTGAAATAAAAATGGACACGCCAAGCAGCTGAGACACTTACGCCACACAGCTGTCACGGATACACCAGCTTCAGTGCCAGATTCCTTCACTCCGCCCACCCGATCTACATCCCCGGAATTCTAATCACCATCACCTGTCACCGCCACCTGCACGAATCCCCGTCTCATTCACCAGCACCATAAAAGACTCACCCGTTCACCTCCTCAGTTGGCTTTATGCACAGCTTCACTACTTCCTGAATGGACTATGTGCACGTTAGCATATGCTACTTCCGGCTGTGAAACCGATAGGGGGTGTCTAGTTTTCGGTAGCCTGATGGACGATGTATATTTCTCCAGATGTCTTGAACATTTGCCGAATATTACAGTCGATTATGTTCATCGACTGGCTAATGATTTTTCTCCAGCTCCCCAGAGCAAGAGAGAATGGGTTTAAATATTACATCTCTCAGTATTTGCATAATTTTGAAGGGAACGTTAAGTCACAACAACATCCATGCTCAGACTGATCTCATGAAATTGCGTATGTATGACACTTATCACGTATTTTTGGCATGCTATCAACACGCATAATCTCTTTTCAGCGTGTTTATGAATGCCGTTGACTTAACGTTATTACTGTATATATATTCATATATATATATATTGCATATGACCTACCTCAACCCCGTCCCTAAACCTACCCGTCACTCCTACCATCCTAGGAAGAAATATCGCTTCCCAGATGTAGATCTACATTTTGTTTTGTTTCACTCGGACATTTGACAGCGTGTACATACGGTACATACACGTGGAATCACTCGGACATTAATGTCGCCATGCTACGTGCTCAAGCTATGCTATTTGGTAACTGTTATGTGATCTCTCTATACATTATAAAAGTCGAAATCATGCGTTAGAAAGTGCATTTTCCAGAACAGTTTGTGTTAGCCATTGTTTTGTTTATGATGTTCGGAGGCTATATGTTGTTGACAACCACTAATGTCATTATATAGATCAGTGTTGACAACCACTATACATATGTCATACAGGGAGTAAAGGTATCCGACGTTGGTTGGTTATCAAGTTAGGCTGTTTTCACACATATTTCTAAACAGGTCTCCCTTGCAAAATAGGTTTTAACCCCAGGGGCTTCTCCTGGTTAAAGGGTATAATATAATAAATAATTAGTAGCCTAAAAACTTCCTTCTAGTTGTCATGGATACGCAACGCTCCACTCTGTAAAGCGACTGCTTGGGTGCGGTGACAAAAAGCAGATTTAAATATCGTTTACTTTTCACAATGCAGCAGCGCCTGGCTCCACCCAAATATGTGTGAAAACTGTGTTGATTGACTTGACAATGAACAAACGAACATAGTTTTAGACTAATATATTTAGATAGCTAAGCTTTAGATAGCCGGTCCACTGATGTAAAC